TATTTCAAACATCACTATTTCCATCTCATAGCTCAAAAACAAATGCCTAAAAATGAAAATGAAAATTTCATTCACATGCATTGCATCTTCCATCTTACATTTCATTTCAAGCATTACTATTTTTCATTGTCTTATACTTTATAAAAATTGCATAAAAATAAAAATCTTGTCCTTGTTCAGTTCTCATTCAATCCCATTTTTCATTGCAACTCATATTCAATCTTACATCACATTTTCCATCCCATGTCAAATTGACATTCATCTCATGCTCATTTCATGTTTAGAATAAAATAAAATTTGATCCTTATATTTTCTTATTCTTCAATCAAGTCCTTCAAGTCATGATTTTCAAAAAAAAAAATGTCGAAACTCTCATTCAAAGTTCTCACCATCTTGCATTTTTCTACAAGAAATTTATAAATGCATGTTTCAAACTTTGTAAAAAAAAAAAAAAAACAATAGAGGTTCTTCAAAGACAAATTCATGAAAAACCCATGTTTTAGACATCAAAATAATTTGAGCATAGGATTTTGGAGCATCACGTCATCCATTTTCTCCAAGTATCACACCATTCACTTTTTCTTCAAGCTTCATGGCATTTGCTTTCTTTTCAAAGGAATGATATTTCCTATGAATGCTAATTTAATGGGTTGCAATAGTGAATCATCAACTTCTCCTTTGGAACTTGCTTGGCATACTTAATAAAGAAAAATCCATGTTCTAGGGTAGAACTACACAACTTCACACACATTACCACTTGTCAGCATATTTATATTCTTGCATCCTTTATCTCTCATTTCCCATCCATGTTTATTTCTTTTCTTGCTTTCCCAAAAATGCATGCTTTAGGATACAACTTCACACACATTAGCACTTTAGAGCATATGTATATTCCTGCATCCATTATTTCTCATTTGGCATCCATGTTTATTTCTTTTCTTGCACTCCCATAATCTTGTTTGATTCTCTGCCTTCAACAATTGAAATATGGATTCATACATAGTCAAGCGTGAATCTTTGTCAGTTAAGACACTTTGGAAATATTCATCCATGGAGAAAGCTTTGACCAACAAAGGATTCAGGAGATCTTCAATTGCAAGCATTTTCTCCATTGTGGACAATTGCCAAGTCAAGAACCAAGAGCAACCTCGAAGATCAAAAGCTCAAGCACATCGCACTTCATGTTGCTCCAACACTCAAGGGATTCATCAAGGAAAGGAATGCAACTACTCATTGAACAATTGTACTTTGAAAGAACTAGGAGTCAAATTTTACTATGGACTTGAATGCTACCATGTTGATGTACTTAGTGTGATGTACTAGGCTTTTACTTTGTAATGAATGACCACCTTTGTAATGCACGTTGAATTGCTTGTAACTGTCTTTTCCATACAAATCTTTGAGTCTGATGGAAATCTCAAGGCATTCAAAGATATTTTGCTTCATCTGAGGCTCCTTGAGGATTGGAAATTGACAATGTGTGAATCCATATAGCAACTGTTGAAGCACCAAATCATGCAAAATTATGGGATGACTTCTAACATTATTTTGACTTTGTTTATTTTTCTTTTACTTTTTGTTTGTAGGTAGGTTTCATA